GGAAAGGTGGCCTGTTGTCCTCTGCATGTAGCATTTCCTGTTGATTTTCTTGTGGTATTTTTTGGAAACACAAAATGAGAGATTTGAAACAGATGCAAAATGGCAGGAAGGAGCTGAGAGTCAAAAAGGAGCTTTGAGATATCTTTTTACCCAGCACCTAGGCAGGCCATGAGCACGCCTAGAAGACAGGCTCCTCCTTGCCTGGTCCAGGGCGAGCCTGTGCCGGTGAAGAGCGGTCCGTGTCCCCAGGCTAATTCCCGTCAGGAGGCCTGCGCCTGCCTTTACTCTTCCTCTCTGCCACAGGCAGCCTCATGGAGCTCCAGGACGTGGGAGCGAACCTTGAAAGATGAGCAAGATTTGCTTTCATAATATTTGTGAAGGACCACAGGTGTTTTCCTTTCCTTCTCCCAAGGCCTCTGATTGAAGGACGTGTCCGGCACACCTAGCTCCTCTGCCTCGGCCTTAATCAGACTCATCCTGCCCTCCTTGGCTCAAACCACGTGCTGAACCCTTCCCACTCTCAAGATAGGTGCACGAATGAGCTCAGCGCCCTTGCTCACCTCCGATTTCCAGGTTCTGGCCCCTTCAGGACAATCCCCGGCCTCCTACTCTCGGGGTTTGCTCCCTGAACCCATGGTGCTCCCTGAGCTCTCCCTGAGATACCCTAGGTCCCATTTCTGTCCCCTCTGGCTCAGAGCTGGCCCGCCCAGCTTCCTGCCTCATCTGGCAGCCAACCCTCACCCCTCCTGCCCAGCATGCCCTGCTGAGGCCCCTGCCTGGCAGGACATGGCGCCTGTGATGACTAAAAATAGAGTTGTATAAAAGAACGGTGGGACCCAAATAACGTCGGCAGCAGGAAATGTAATGATCCTCCAAAAATATGGCCCCTGTGCTTCCCCAGGAGCCCTGTCCCTGCTTCAAAGCCCATGAACTATCTTTATTTTGCATTCAAACTATCTTTTGGGGCCAGATTTCCTTCATAACACAGTTTATTGCAAAACGGATCTGAAACCCTAGGGAGTTTATCTGTAGTTAGGTTTTTTTCTTTTCTTTTCTTTTTTTCTTCTTTCCAGTAACTGTGAGTCGGAGGTATTCCAGCCATTACTAACTAAAGGACTACTCTGTTTCATGACATCTAATCAGGTGGATGTCCCACTGGGAGGACAGATTGTGCCCTTTCCTCCCCCCTCTGGACTGAAGAGATAAAGAGATAAAACTCATTGGTTGTTTTATTTTTTAACAAATCAACAGCATAGTCCTCCTGTGGAATCTTCTCAGGCACCCATTATGCGTACAACTGGGTTTAGTGGGGAGGCTGGAGGGCCTGTGGGGGGAAATTTTGTCCTTCGAATGGCTGGGCATTGTCTGGTCTGCAGAAGTTCCTATGTGGGGCCATCTTGGATCCTGGCAGTAGAGATGGAAATGACCTGAGCTCTCCTCGGATGCCTGAGAGCCCAAGGTCAGCCTCACTTTGCGGGCAGAGAGGGTCCTTGTGTCAGGAGCAGTGAGCAAATCATTTCCCAGCATTTTGATCTCCAGCTTTGTGGACAGCGTTCAGGATTCGGAGGAGCCCAGGCTGGAGTGTAAGCGCCACATCTAGCTCTAGTCAGAGTCAGCGTATGCTGACTCTTTTTTTTTTTTTTTTTGGTCTGATTTTCTAGCTGAGACAGCAGAAGAAATGATTCACTGTACCTGTGTTACATTTGACCACAGCAGAGGGCAGAGCTAGTCCAGAAGGTCACGGGTCCAGGGTACATGACCAGCAGGGATTGTTTCAGTGTGAGCGAGGCTGGTGTCTCAGAGGTGGCCCAGGAAACTGGATGGCAGTAGAAGTTCTAGATCCACCAAGGGACAGAGGCATGCAGTCCAACACCTTGTCCCAGAACCCCAGGGACCACCATTCCTCATTTCTGCTCCTTTGGTCTCATGGTTTGCACAAATCCGGAGATGACCTAAACTTCCACCTCATCTTTCTTCCCCTGGGCTCCAGCCAATGCACTGATTCTTCTCCATGTGGCTGTCATGGCTCAGAGGTCCCCAAGAAGAGGGTAGCTAAGGCAGGAGCAACATCAAGGTGTGGCCAGGGCCTCCGTTACTGTAAACTGGAGCCTTCCCAGCTTCCTGTCAGCCTAGTAGCTATGGTGGCTCTGGCTATAGCAAGTCCCTTCCCGAACCTCTATTACTTTTATCCATGCTACCTCTTGTGGCAGCTCATGTCTTTTTTTTTTGGTACTGGGGATTGAACTCAGGACCCCATGCTTGCCAGGCAGGCACGATGCCACTGAGCTACATCCCTGGCCCCAGCTCATGTCTTGAAGTAGGGCTCACTTTTCCTTTGTTCTGAAGCTCTGGGCTTTGTGAACAGATTGGCAGCATTCTGCCTGCACTTTCCACGCGGCTGTAAGTCCCCCTCCTTGACCTTCAGGGTGGGCTTTGAAGCATGACCTTTGGCGCTTCCACAAGGGCACCAGCCTCTGTCTCCTCTTCTTAAATGCAGTCCCCGGAGGCAGGAAACAGCTTCTCTGCAAGGTCTTAGTCCAGGGTCTGCACACGGCTGTGTCCTGAGCTCAGATTTTGGTGATGAATATGTGGCTGAGGACTTGTAGGAACATCAACAGCTCTACCTCACCCGATCTCAGGTCTCAAGGAGCCTCTAGGGAAGGCCCAATGCTGTCCATGCTTCTGGTAGGAGAGTAAGGGACAGATTTCAGAGGCTCAGAAAGACACCTGCCTATAAGCACCTTTCCTTCTGGTTCACAAAGCTCTTTTAATGTAAGGCACATCCTTTGTTGAAATGTGGAGACTGTGGTTTGGAGGCTCTGGGCCTGGGCTGGCTGGCTTGGATCTTGGCTCTGCCTTTTCCTAGACACTGAGTTGCCCCCTCTACCTCTGTTTCCCTGGCTGTGACATGGGGATGATAAAGGGTTCTACTTCACAGGGTTATTATGAAGTTGAAATGAATTAATACGCTAAAGCCTGGAAAAGAGCCAGTGTTCGCTAAATAAACAAACAAAAGTTTCCGGAAAAGGAGTGATGATTGCACTAATTCCAGAAAACACGAAGACAAGACGGGAATGAATGGCTTTCTTCCACCACATGCAGGAGACTGGGAGCAGGTAGCAGGAGCTGCTGGGAGAGTGAGCCAGTTCAGAGCAGCCCCTGGGGCCTTTTCAGAGCAGTGACCAAAAAACTAAGACATACAGTCACACGTTGAGCATCTGCCCTAGGCCAGACCCTGGGACGAGGACCCTGTTGCCCGGTTCATCCTCACAGAACCCTTATGCCCTTCTGTCCCTGTGGATGAGACTCTTCACAGTTAGCCGGGGATGGCACCAGGAGGTGGAGGCTGTTGTCCCCACCAGCAAACCCTCTACATGCACACCTACAGATCCACGGAGGAACTCCTGGTCTTGATTTCCTTTCACACATAAGTAGCAGCACCAGGATGCTGCAGTTTGTATTACCAGGCAGTAACTGGACCCATGGGAGGAGCACTGGGCAAGGAGCTGGAAGACCCAGCTTCCAGTCTGGCTCAGCCACTTGCTGTGCCAGCAAAGACCGGGTATTTACCTCTGCTGGGCAATAGAGTGGGAGCTAAGAATGCTAGGGTGTACAGTGAGGAGCAAACGAAACCATCACATTTATATTCACCAAACCATAAGCACTCACTGTATTTCCCATCATTACAAAGTAATCTAGGAAGCACACTTGAATTGCAAGATTGTGGTGTTCCTTCCTATGAGTTTGGACCATGTGAACCAGGCTTGCTGGAGCCTGCTTACGCCAGCCAGGCTAAACTTTAGGGTGTCAGAGCTGGGGCCCCTAACCCTGAGTTGTAGAGAAAAGACCTCCCTCTCTCCGTCTTCAGGCCTCACCTGGCTTTTGGCCAACGTCTTCCCTCAATCCGTGTTTGCGGTGGTGGGATGTTGGGAAGGCTCCGGACTGCACAGGAGAAGAAATGTTTCCCTGCAGTAAAGAAGGATATGACAGGTAAGGGGATACTAGCAACATATCCAGGGTTCAGTTCAGTGGTGTGTCCGTGTTCACCTCAGTCCAGGGGCCGCTCTGGTCTTTCCCAGCCTGGGTCTGTCCTGGCTGGTTCATTCGGCCTGGACAAAGCTGCCTGTGTTTTGGGTTTTTGAGCGTCTCCTTAATTCTTTGCTCTGGGAGATGCCAGCTCTGCCCCCTTCTGCCTCCTGGGGACATCGTGGGAGAACATCAAATAGCACAGTCACCCGGACGGCTCCAGTGAGGGACACACACCGGCTGACACATGCCAGTGGAGGTGTTGGCACCATGACATCCGGGAGGATCCAAGGAAGGGGACACCGAACTTCAGGAACAGCTGGCCCTTCCTCAGCACTGCCCCTGTGGTGGGTGACCCCATCCCTACATGACAAACAGAGAGGACACTCAGACACCAGCATCTTATTCTGTTCATGCTGATGTTTTATTAAAAATAATAAAAGGTTATCACTTAAGTAAAATGAAAGAATCAAGAGCTACTGGGTATGAATAAAGATTGTTTTGTATGGCAAGGCCCCAGGAGAAGCAAATTCCTTTGGAAGTAGCCCAGAGCGTGGCATTTCTCCTGCCTCCCCCTCTCAAGGCTAGTTCTGCGGGGTTTTTCACTGAGAGCCCCAGGATGGAGGAGAAGCTATCTTCTTAGCTCAGAGTTCCCCTTTTCCAAAGGGAAGGCAGATTTGGGAAGCTGGCACTGGCCCTGCCCAGATGGCAGCCAGCAGCTGCCTCTGGCAGGGGGAAGTTCTCACTGTCGGCTGCTGGCTGCCCGGCCCCTCCCGCTCCCTGGCGGAGCAGCCTGGCCCTTGGAAAGATGGGCTGTGAGCGCAGCTCTGCCAGCAGCTCCGGCACCCTGACCCAGCCGCTCTGTTCGGCTCTGGCTCCAGGCCTGGCCAGTGGCCTCAGCTCCCTGTCCTACCGCAACAGGATTGGCCCCGTGCTCAGTAGTACAGTTCCTGATGCATGGGCTGTGGCACAGGGACAAAGGGCAGGGTGCTCAGAGAGAGAGAGCAGCCTGGCCTTGAAACCACAGGCAGATTTGGGCGACAGGCCTCAGATGCCCAGGCTGGCCAGGAGCACCCTCTTCCCTCCAGGTACTGCTCTGAGTTCCGTGCACTCACTCTCTCCGTCCTAGGAGCATCTCCTTCCTTCCTTCCTTCCTCCCTCCCTTCCTCCCTCTCTTCTCTTTCCTTCCCCTCCTTTCCCTTCACTTCCTTTCCATTCTCTCTTCTTTCTTTTTCATTTTCCCTTTCTTTCTATTCCTCTGCTTCCCCCCTCCCTCCCTTCTTTCCTTCCTTCTCTCTTACCATCCTTCCTTTCCTCACTACTTCTTTCTCTGCCTCTATCCTTCACACTCTTTTCCATCTCACTTCCTTTCCCTTTTTCCTCCTTCCTGCCCTTTGGCCTCTCTCCCTCCCTCCCTCCCTCCCTCCTGCCCTTTCTTCCTTCCTTCATTCCATTTCCTCCTTATCTCTCTTTTCTTTTTCTTCTCTCATAATGTATTTCTCCTACTTTCTTGCTTCTCTCCCCCTTCACTCTTTCATTTTTCAGCCATTCTTCACACCTTATGAGCCCCGCCATGATTTCTAGGAGAAACTAATGTGACTGTATTCGGCCTTTCTGTGAAGAGCTCCACCCAAGGAGGCCACCTGAGTATTGAGATGAGTCTATGACAGTTAATGGTAATAGAATGTGAGCACTGTAAAGCACACAAATTACTACTAATACAGAAGGGTCATTAATTTCTGCTCGACCTACTTTGTGGAGAATTTGGCTGAGGAGCTGCCACTACTTTTTTTCAATTTAGTTGCTCACTCTGGTTTTTAAGTTCCTGAGAAAAAGATTTAATATCTTTTAATTTGGCTGGAAAAATGGAAGGTTGGCCTTTTGTTTCTGTTCCTACATATGACTCAGGTTTGAATAGTTAGTTATAATATTTAGGACCAAGGTTTGCTCTGAGTTTCTGATTGGTTTTATATCCAAATAACTCAGCAGGTATTTGTTAAAAACAAAATAAACTGGGGCATTAGGCAGCTTTCTATCACTGTAAGAAAGTACCTGAGATAAAGTTCTAACAAGGAAGAAAGATTTATTTTGGTTTTAAGGGTTTTCGTCCATGGTTGGTTGTCTTTCTTGCTTTGGGCCTGTGGTAAGATAGCACATCATGGTAGAACAAAGCTGCTGATCTCATGGTGTCTAGGAAGCAGATAGGAAGAGGAAGGGCCAGGTCCCAGCGTCCCCTGCAAGGCCATGCCCACAACGACCTCACCTCCTCCCATCAGGCCCTACTTCCTGAAGTTTCCATTAGGTGATAGTTCCACAGGCTAGCGACCAAACCTTCAACACTGTATTTTCAGGGTACATTTCAGATCTGAACTGTAACCCTTGATGTATGACATTGTTATATGTTTGTCTTGGTTGGGTCATTTCTACTTAAAGATGCATTTGAGATTTTAGTGAAATGTGCTTGGTTTCCTTCAATAACAGTTTGCTCTGAAATATACTCTTTGTGACTCTCCCTCTCCTCAGTTGGAAAAGTTACACCAAGAAAAAGAAAATTTCACCACATAATTACCTCTGGCATTTTTTGGTGCCTGATTTGGAAAATTCTCTTTGAAATCAGAAGCAGCTACAGAATCAACAGCAGAGTCTCCAAAAGCACCAGAATCCAATGGTTAGGAGCTGAAGCTCCCATCTTGTACTACATCTTGAAAGCACAGGTGTGCTGCCCTGGAACTTCAGGAAGTAGTGCAGATGTTTCTTTGTCATTAGCATCACCCTGGTAACATAATTAGTATGTACAGTTAAAGGTGAAGGGTAATCTTGAAGACATCAAATAGTCCTTTTCACAGTGGGAGGCAGGCCGTCGGCTAGGTGGTTTAGAAAAGACTACCGAACCACTCTGCATGTTTGAGCTAATGAGGAGGTCAGGGGTCCAGTGTCATCTGAAGCAGTTGGTGACACCACAGAATGTGAATATAGACTGTACCCTGTTCACTGCCGTTTTCTTGCAAAGGAAATGAAGTTTGCCAATATGATACACAAATGCAACGTATTGTTATGATTGCTTATTTGAAAACTTGCTCATAAATACCACTACACAAGTATTTATTGCAGCTTTTATCATAATAACCTTCACTTTTGTGGTATTGTTGTGGTTTGTTTGGGATTTGTTGGCTTAATTTTTTTTAAAAACATAATTCATTCTTTGGGGTGTATGAATCTGAGGGTTTTGACAAATGCAAGGAGTCACAAATGTACCACCATAGCCGTGACATGCAGTGGTTTCATCTCCTCTCTTTACCCCAGTTCTCCTAGGTCACCCTTTATATTTACCTCTTCCTTTGTTCTCCAGGCCTGCCAGCCACCGATCAACCCTCTGGGTGTTTCCAGTGTGCTCTGGAGCCTTACAGCACGTGGCCCTTCACCCAGCAGTGTGCACTGCCATGTGTGCTCACTGCTGCAGGTATTGGTGGTTTGGTCCTTCTTACTGACAAGCAGTGTCCCCTGGGCACTGGCACAGTTTGCTTTTCCATTCGCTTGGTGAAGGGCACTTGGTTATGTTCAGTTTGGGGCTGGGATGATAAAAGCTATGATGAGCACTGCTGAAAGATTTTATGTGAATACAAGTTTTCATGTCTCTTACTTAAATATCTAGGAGTAGAATCACTGGTACATGTGTTTTTAACTTTATAAGAAACTACTAAAAGGCAGTGTTTTGCATCCTTACCAGGAATGTTTGGGAATTCTATTTGCTCCACATGCTGTATCTGGTGTGATCAAATTTTAAATTGTCATCATTCAAATAGTTATGTAATGGTCTCTTATGTTTTATTTTATATGTTCTCAATGATTAGTGATGTAAAGCATCTTTTCACATACTTATTTACTATCTGTATGTCTTCTGTTATAAATTATCTGTCCAACATTGCAAAAATTTTCTTATATTTTCTTCTAGAAATTTTGTAATTTAATATGATTCATTCAGAATTAAGTTTTGTATATTTTATGTTGAGATTCTTTCCTTTCTTCCATTTTTCTTTTCACGTGTAGACGCTCCACCAATACCATTAGTCGAAAAAGACCACTCTGTTGCCTGAGCACTGTGGTGGAAAGTGAATTGACTGTGTTTGTGAGTCTGGTGCTGGAGCCTTTGAGACGGTATTCCTGTGCTTAATGCCTCATGTCACAGTCTCTGCCTCTCAAACTAAATGCTTTCCCTAGGATCTACAGCACCCCAGATGTGGCCCAGTGCCCCTTAGTGCCTGACTAGATGGAAGAAAAGAAGTTTTGGCAAATCTAGATTAGGACCAACTTTGCCCCGATGGCAGTGTGACTTTTTTGCTTAGGACTTTTTGACCTTGAAGAAAGGCAGGTGAGGCTCAGTGTGAAGCTCCATGAAGATCAAGGAAGGAGTGGCTGGCTGGGGGAGGACCTGGGTTTGTGCCCTCAGTGTCCACATATTTGCATAATTCCTTCTGTCTCATTTTATAGTGAAAAGATGGGGTGAAGGGTGTGAGTCAGTATGAGAACTGGTGTGCTATGGGGTTATAAGCTCTTTAATAGAAAGCCCATCTTCCCTTGTAAAAAAAAATAAATCCCTTCCCTCTACAGTAAGCAAGCAGTAGATAGATCCTCAGCATCTCTTGTTTACTTCCTGCTGCATTGGGTCAAACAGGTAATTACACAAAAAATGTGTTTTAAGCCTGAGTTCCCATTATATTCCTTTTTTTTTTTTTTTTTTTTTTTTTTTTACCAAAAGGGTTATTCTTTTACAATTTTGGAACACAAAGCATGCTAAGTGGTGTCTTTCTATTGCTCAGATGCTTTCCACCCATGCCACTCAAACCACCATCTGTTAGGAGGGTGGGAAGGACACTGGCAAGACCCCGAACCCTCCCTGCTCCGACCCAGGCCTGACTGCCCGGGGCTGTGCCCGTCACCTGGGAAAGGTTTGCAGAGCCTAGTTTCCGGCTTGGAGATTTCATCTTCTGGGTAGACTCAGCTCTGCCTCCAAGAAATGTCTTCCACATCCATGGACAGCAACCCTTCATTCATACTAAAATCTCTGGAAGGCTTATCCTATGAAAATACTTTTGTGTTTCTGGCCAGTCTTGCTTTCTTTTCCTTTATAAATCATTTACACATCTCAAGTCCAAATACTGACACAGGGGACAGTGTGTGATTAACCTCTCTCCACTCCAAGAAGTGGCTAGCATCAGTGATTCTTCCTTCCAAAATAGCTGACACCAAAAAGACGTTTGTCCAGAGCCCTCTGGTCATCTATTTTCCTTAATGTCCTTTTATGAGGGACCTTATCAAAAGCCTGCAAGGAAATCCAAGTAAATTATGTTCCTTGGTTCACCTTTACCTACTATTTCATTATCTTTTTCAAAAACAATGTGACATAGTTTTCAACATAATTAAAGGGGCTGCAGGAAGAGAACTTTAACTACTGGCTGACAGTTTCTGCACTTGCTGGGCAGAGCTGGGTCACTGCTTGTGTTCCGCCGCTGCTTAAGGACACTAATTCATTCCCCAGGCTGTCTGGTGAGGTCAGCCACTAGTTCAAGGTGGAAATGACAAGTTTTTCAGCTTTCAAATGTGCTGTATTCAGCTCTCCCGAGAGAGCCTGAAGGAAGGAAACCACAGGTTTATCCAGGTCTGCTCCCGAGAAAGAGGAAGCCATGAGAAGAAGCAAGTCCGGGTAGAGGGAGGGGTTAGCTGCTCCAGGAGAGTCTCGGACATTCTCCAACAGCCCTCTGCTTTCCACATGAGAAGAGGAGGAGCTGATGGCAGAATTTGGGAAAACTTTCCATGTTCCGTGGGAGATGTGGGCAGCGGTTGGTAGAGTGAGAAAGGGTTGGAAACAATTAAGCTCACACAACCAGTAGCAACAGTAATAGAAACGATGCTAATCACTGTCATGATAATCGCAACCAAATTTTCTGAGTACTTTCTCTGTCCAGGGCTAGGCAGGTGCACATTACCAAGTGTGGTAGATATTATCATCCTCATTTGGAAAGGAGCAAAATAAAGCACAGAGTATGCAAAGGATCTGCTAAAGATCACATGGTTTAAAAATTATCAGATTGAAGAGGCAATCCGCTCCTAATTCTGAAGTACATGGCTTTTCGTGATACTACCTAGTCAATTCTTAGTTCCTAAGAGGCAAAATTTGCCCAAAAGGTAAATATTGTTGGTTAAGTCAATGTTCTAAGTACTATAATATGAATTGCCAGTTTGCATAAACTAAGCATCATTGTTGGTTAGAAAAAAGCAGATATTATTAATTTATATTAATGACTCCCAAGGGCATTCAGGGTTGTAATCCTCAAAGCATCTTTATGACTCTCCACTGTCACTCGCCTGAGAATTTGGAAGTGTTAGTCTACAAAGCACTCTGGCTGACAAAATGCTTGTAATGTTGGCTCTTAAAGTGGAAAGGAGCTAGTAAGGAGAAGCAGAAAAGCTTCCATTTCTTTCTGGCTTACTTCTTCGTTTCCACTGGCCCAATGCCTATTTTTCCTTATGTCCTAAGAAATGGGCCATGTTTAGTCTTTTCTGCGACTTCAGAAAACCCGTCATAATTTTCCTCCCACATGCTTTGTAGGACATGATGCCTAAATGTTGGAAAGCAATTTTGTTTTAAATGTACACTTGATGACGATAGGAATTTCTGGGGTACAGCTTGATATTTTGATCCATGTATACACTGCGTCATACTCAAATCAGGGTAGTTAACATATCTAGTACCCAATTCTCACTTGTAGCTACCTGAAATACTCAGTATGATATCGTTAACCATAGTTACCCTACTGCGTGACAGAACACTAAAACTCCTACCTGTGGTAAACCGTACAGACTCAGCTATCTCTCCAGCCCTCCCTCCTCCTTCCCAGCCTCTGGTAGCCACTATTCTGCTCGCTACTTCTATGAGACCTATGAGACCAGCTTCTTCAGATTCTGTCCATAAATGAGATTATAAAAGCATTTTTCAAAGCATCTTCCACATGCCTGCATCTTCTCCCTGGATGATCCTGCTGGCTGCTGTGTTCCGAGACATCATGACCCTTACTTTCTAGTTTGTCATGGTGCATGGGAAGCATACAGAATCTAGGGGAACAGGCTGGTACCCAAAGGCACCTCTACCAGGCCGAGCACTCAGCCAGTGGCCCAAGCACCAAGCTCCTGCTTTTTTAAGAACATTGCCCTTCCAACCAAGAGCCCAAGAAGGTGAGCAGCCAGAAAAGCAACTTGAACTTTTCTTCAGTGAATGGATGTACTAATGGGAGAGAATGCACATATGGGAGCCTGAAAGAAAAAGAAATTATTCTGTGTAACATCACAGCTTGGAACTTGGCAGAGAAAGAACAAGTCTTCCTTCTTAGGAGGGGAGATAGCCTCACTGAGGTCAAGCACAGTGCAGGTGAATGGTTTTGTGTCCATTCTCAGGGAACATGGCACCAGCACTGTGTGTTCCTGCAGAATGGAGTTGTCACTGGTCTCTGCAAGATGAGTTGGACAGGGCTGCAGGGAGCCAGGATGGTGAAGAGAAGCAGGGAGCTGGGTTCCAATCCAGCCCTGGCACCTTCAAGCCTCAGTGACTTTGACTTACTTATCAGAATTTCAGTTGTCCATCTATAAAGTAAGAATGTTGTCCAACTTGTATGGGTTTTGGGGACTCTGTACAATAGTATATGTGAAGTGCCTGACACTAGTGAATAATTTATTTCTCACAAATATCTTGGACAGTTATTCAGAATGCCAGATATAGATTCATAACACACCTAGGTGTGGCTTTATGCTTTCCATAATTTCCCCACTGTTGGTAAGGATGTAACATTTCTTAGAGGAAAATGTCATTACATTTTCCCTCTGATGATGTGAAAATAAGTATTTTTTATAATTTAGTAAGAGGTGAAAAGTTTCACAAAGTTATACAGTTTAGGTGACATTACATGAGTTTCTATCTAACCTGCAATCTCCCATTTATATGTTCAACCTGTAGCTTGTGAATTGGACACACACACACACACACACACACGTCTATACATTAACTATATATTATGTATTTTATATGCAGTCCAAGACAATTCCTCTTTACTCAGTGTGGCCCAGGTGGGCCAGGCATGTCTAGCCCATGGCCAAAGGTTGGACACATCTGCATCTGGGCCTTTGGCTCGTGACTTTGCATCATTACTATCATCTGGGGTTAAAAACCACAAGCACTACCTTCAGCTGAGTACAAAGAATGGGACCTTTAGAGTCTAATATTGTTCTCATCTTGCCCTGACCCTGTGTTCCTTGTCTTACTGGCAACAGCCTTTTCTGGGTAAAAGTGCAGTATTTCAGAGACTCTCCTTTCCCCTCCCACTTGTAGAATAAAATGGCCTCTGGTGGTGCCAGGACAGGACCTTGGGTTGGCTTGTCACCTCTGAGTCCTTCTGGTCTTTGCTGCAGGAT